GTTAAATAATTTAATATTATAATATTATCATAACGAATAACGWATAAGCTAGTCGGAAAAAGGTAGTTTTCTGTCGAGACCCTAAAAAACCATAGGTACTGTCAAATGAGCCTATTCAAAATGACAAAAATCGATTTGTTTAAAAAATTGTTAAGTGAAATTGACAAGTAACAATCAACGATGTATTTTTATATACACGAAAAATAAATATTTATTATAAACCTGAATTTTATATTTATTTATGATAATMTCTTAAAAAATAATTWGAATAGAATATTAAAAGTATTTCCGGTATTGAAAGCCATGGGCCAAATAAACAAATAAAATAAATATTTTCATTACATAATAAGTAAATATTTTTATCAATATAAACTTTTATAGAAGTACGGATTACCGAAACGTTATTGATTGACGACTCACGAAAATATATAGTAATTAGTAATATATCATATATTTTACACAGGTTAATTTAAATGCAAACCTACCTACCTATTTTTTTTTCGTTATTTAAAACAGTACAGAAAAAACAACATATTTTAAAAAGGATACATTATTTACAGTTCTACAGTAAATTGTAAATAGTTCTATTTCGAACTTATCATTTAAATTTTATTAAACAGGTAGGCTTTTTTTTGAGAAGTTGATCATGTTGTTGGTGTATTCTGTGTTCGAACCTAAAACTGTGTCTAAGTTGACAGGGATATTGAATTTTTTTGACGTTTTCTAAACATTTGTGAAATTCAGTTATGATGTGCTTTGTGCTTAACTGTTAAGTTGACGCCGCAGGTTGAGCACTAAGATGGTTTCTCTTTAGCCATTAAGAACTTATCGTTATCCCAGTGTGACCTATCTTAAGGTGATTTATTTTTTTTCTCATTGTCTATTTTAAAACACTTTTTATATATCTCTACTAGTAGTTTATTTTTTTTGGAACCCAAAGGTACCCATGATCTAATAAAGCATTTTATGTGTTGATAGGCAAATAAGAAAAAATATAATGATAATTTTTAAATTGTAGGCATATATATTTTTTAAATAATTGTTATTTACAATCTATATTAAATAATACAATAAGAAAATGTTATCAGAGTAGAAAAAAATGTCATGAAATTCCTATGGCTGGAKAAAATATTCATCGCTGTATATAAATATATTACTCTACAAATATAATAATATATAGGTATACCAACATAAATAATAATAGCATACTTAGTAAGTTTTATGATATATGTTTACAATTTAAGAATAATTTTTAAAGTGTCTTAATAAATTCTTCAATTAACTGAATCTCCGCTATATGAACCTTCTCATTTCGAAATGCAATTGCAGACGTATACCTATTCTTAATATCATATTATTTTGTTTTACTCAACATAATAATTCTAATTTATATACTATCTTAAAAAAAAAACACAAAATACAACTAATTGGATATTTTACTWGTTAAAAAAAATATATAGTACCCATATTTATAATTAAACATGAACACATTAAATATATTTAATTTATTACTGATAATACTAACTTTAGTTATTTATAATACCTTAGTGTAAAACTGATATTGATATTATATATCAATATATATTATAAATTTTTATAATATATATACCCTACCATTTTAATAAACGTATAAAATCAATGACTTTTTTAATTTTGGTTATTTTGATTTTTTAAACATCAATTTAAATTTCTAAACAAATCATTAAAAAAAGCATTGAAATATTAAATAATACCTACAGCAAAATTGGCTTAATATATTTATAAGGTAAGTACAATAAGTACATACTACCTACAAAATACACTAAACATTATGATATGAAACCATGCTATAGATACCTAGGTACCTAACTCCTAAAAAAAATATTACATGGGTAGGTTCGACGCTATATTATGTACTTTAAGCTCGACAATGGATGGATAGTTTGCGTATTATTCGTAGATTTGAAGACAATACATTTACGTAATTGAAATATATACCTGTATATTGCTTATAATATGCATATACCTATATCTAAAGCTAATAAGACATGCCCTTGAAATATAACTGCAGTATAACAGTTATATTTGTCTCTCAAAATCTGATGCTCTCTGACAACAATACTGGTCCTGTCAACGTCCTCTGTAATTATTATAATAATAGATATATCCTTTTTCTAATAAATAACACCATTAGTATATAGTTGTCACGCTCGCATAAACAAAATGTATTAGATTATTCCTTGCATCGTATTAAATATTAATAACATTATAAAGGACTGTTGATCCGGGCGTGTTGAATTCCACACGGGCGTATCAAACAATGACGCGTCCGTAAATAGCATAAAGCACAAAAAACTATATAATTAGATGAAATGCCAAGAAAATACCAAGCACGGTATATGTTAACTATATTGGTATATTATGCTATATTTCCCATCAACATTGATTGCTCTGCGAAAGCTGTAGAATAAACAAAATAATTACTAAATACCATCGTTAGACATCTTTATCATTATATTGTTAAAAAATAAAATCTYGTCATTTCACAACTATAAAAATTGAGAAAAAAATCTGTTGATATAATATTTACTAAGTTTAATAATGACAATCTGAATAAATAAAAAAATAAAACGTTAACGATATATTATACAAAAAAAAAAATTTTWAATTAAAATTAACTGCAACAGTAATAAAAGTCAATGCAGTATTATAGTTAATTGCATATTAGTAAACAATAAATTTAGATACATGAAATTTTCACCAAATGTTTATATTAGTATTTTCTACACATGATGGTATATCTAATTTTCAAAATATTTAAAATATTTTGAGTTATTTACTTATAGCTAAGTACCTATATAGGCATTTGAAATTTGAAATTTTAGTTTTGTTTGATATAAATATTTATAAAAAAAATTTGTTTATCTTATATAATATAGGTTGTCAACTTCATAAAAATCTCATCTCAACTTATGAACACAATGCAATAAAATAAAATAATCGTTCCACCCCTATACCTTCTCAATAAAGCTACTAAGTKACTCCACTCGAGGGTTAGGTTAGGTTAGGCTCCACAGCGGGGGTGCTCCAATAAAAAATGTAAACAATCACGAAGGAAATGTCACAAGCATCGATGCAAGTTCAAYCTGAAAATACAATCTCCAAATCCTTCAAAGAACTTAATTCCACCATTAGCCCCATAAGCGTAATCAAAAATAATAGAATAATATTTCATATACATTATACATACTATAACCTATATTATTATGGTTTCCATTTGAACGTACCTATATGATAATATGACAATATTGTAAATAATCGTTGAGATATAATACTACTTATAATAGYTATAACACATAAAATGATTAATTTCTCAACAAATTAAAAGTATAACAATACTTTGAGTCAGRCTAGACTGTGCTCAATGAGAGAGTTTTTGATGGTGGTCCAGAAAATATATTAATGAGCACTCACCCTTCTCACAGTAGTTTTTTTTTACAAGCTAWACAGACATTTACACAGACACTGACACTATTATAAAAAAACATAATTTACATCAATCTTCAAATTAAATATTTGGAACGTGCATTCCTATTTAATAAATAGTGATTATATCCTAGTTTTGAAACTTAACTTTTTAACTTTGAAATGCATGAAACTATTACACTAAATTTTAGTGTAAATGATCTTTTAGTGACTAAAAGATCAATAACGAAATACACTGAATAAGTTTTATAGTGATATTTAAGAATATGCAAAACCCGAATAAAGTACCAATCAGATAATGTTAGCAAAACATAGGTAGTTAACATTCGATCAAATTTTCTGCTTCAAAACGTGATGACCCAAAAATTAAAAAATATAAAAAACATTCATCATCATATGTGAAYATGGTATACAACTCAAAATCATTATACATATGCTTTGCCCTTCTAAGAATAATACATTCATAAAACAACTTATAGTATGATGTTCAAGTGCAGCTCATCTTAGTATACCTTGTACCAGTTGTACCTACGCACAAAACGATGTTATGTTGAGAATCCGTGGACCGTACCATAGGTACACTCATAAACATATAATTAACCGGTAAGAAGTCACTGGAAACTGACATTCATATAGGAAGTAATTACATTTTAATATTTTATACTAGTTTATAAATACATTTTTTTAAATCGTAAAAGGTTTATTTTTATTACAATTTTACCTACCTATTTTATAATTTAKTAAATTTTTAATAACCCTCTCATTCACTTTCTCGAAACACCACAGATTTCACGAAATCATTATTAGAATGATTTAATTTAATTAAAATTAAATTTTGGCAGGATTTTAAATTTGATGAGACCTCTAAAAGAATAATACAATTTATAAAATAAGAATCAAAAACATTASTATTTTCAAAAAGCTGCAGTTATAAATAGAAACCGAAATTTTTTTGAAAAACTGTTATCATTAAACACTTTATTTTCTATGGGTTCCTTCAATTACTTTTATCAATTTTACGACTTTACAATAATAATTTTCCATACTCTCCCCTGCMCCACAAAAAAATACACTTTTTATGTCTATGATCGTCGCCGCTATCATGGAAGACATGACGTGACTATCTATCATAGCGGTTCTCATAGTACCTTATAGTTATATATTATACCTCATAGTTCTTATACTATATAATTATAATTATTTATAGTATCTCGCTTATACCTATTATATTATTATTATATATCAACACAATAATAATTATACTTATCTAGTAATGAACRAGATTTGCGACATTCGGCACGTCCGTTTTGTAGCGTCTTCGGGCAAACCGGTACCTATAATAAAAGTACGATGTCCGTGACCGTGGTATTGGTAGGTATACGGCCACGGTTGACGCGGGCRAACCGGTGCGCGGTTTTTATTTCATTCGCTTTCCACAGGCTTTCGCACTCTTTCACCGCCCCGAATTCGCCTGGTGGGAATCAATTAAATACCCGGCACCGGACTGTACCGGCGAACATTCAACCGGAGCATTTTGTAACCGCGAACACGTTCAGCACTCGTCCAACACGCAACGGTAACATAACACGGTCGCGAGTCTTATACGATTTGATTTGAAATAATTGTATTATTGTAATATTAGATTGGTCATCCGTCCTTTTGTCTGACAACCGTTCTTTACACTTGTCTCAGTTTTTTTTTTTTTTATTGATCCTTGCAATTTTTTGTTCGCCGCACAGCCGTATACACCGTCGTCGAATCCCAAACCAATCAGGTACCTACTATAATATTTAATATGAGATTAATAATATAAATATTATCATGATGATAGCAAAATGTAAAGTAATGTATAATTTGCCATCGAACAGACGGAAGATGCCACTTGGAGTATAACACATAATACACTTCATATACCATATATATACTCATTAGTACTAGTACATAATAATAATAATATATTATAATATCATATACGTATTTAGGTAATTATTAAAACGGTTTTATGTGTAATAGGGCAAAAGCCTTCCCTAGAATTCTAAAAATGCAATTTGGTTTAAGGAAGGCTTTGGTTTTCGATTAGAAACCGACTTTAGACTGTTTAGACAGTTTGCGATTTAGAACGACGTGTGGAATTAATAAACTAGTTACTTAGTAATCACGAAACCAGAGCTATTGATACATATTATTTTGTAGTACCTAGGTACTATAAATTAAACCAAATTAAATTCATATTTCATAATAAGTCTATAAGATGTATTTTGTATGATGAATATGTAGAGAAGATGAAAAGGAGCCACCCAATAGTGACACACTTAATAAGGTTTTTAACCAAAAAAAGACATGATAATTTAAAAAATGTTAAACATCTCTAAAATAATTAAAAATTWATTAATTATGRCTTTTATTTTCATAAAATAACTAGGTACACCAAAAAATATTTATGTTAAGGAAACAAATAAGCAATGGACAGTGGCCATTTACAAATAAAAACAGAAAAAATAAATAAATATAAAGTTATACTGACCTATTAACTAGACACAATTCATTCTTTAGATCAAAGCAAAATATTATATCAAATTAATGTCACAGACAAAGCAATTCGTCAAATATAATATATAACTACAAAATAAATCATTTTGCTTTAGTTGTATTTTGATACTATTTAGTAGGAATTTCTATTCGCCCAAAATATAAGAAAATACTTATAGATAAAACATGTGTAAATAA